CATGCATTTTGGGCTACTCTTGTGCCATCGAATAGTGAAATTGACCGTCTCATTATAACGCCCCCACGGCTGAAAGGGCGAGCATGTTTGGTGGTATGCGGATTCGAACCCGCGACCCTCAGATTGTGAGTCGAGCGCCTTATCCACCTGGCCATAGTTACGTACTGCAACATCCCGACTTTCAGAAAAATTATTTTAAAACTACTGATTACGATCCAATAACTTTTTATTCTGTTGATACGCAAATAAGTTTTTTCATGTGCATGTACGCACAGAACGTGTAACTACCAAAAAAAAAAAAACCCTTGTTTAGTATCTATGATATTCTATACTTGAACTTAAAAACTACATCGACGTCGTATTAAAGTATACAAGACATTTATGCAAACAAACAGAGTGTTTTCGTTATAGAGGTTCAGTACGTTATATTAAAACGATTTTGGAGTCTCGCCACGTCGTTATAGCCAATGTCGCCACGTATGAACCATGCTTTATCTTATGACCATGCATCTTGACAACAGCCCTGTAGCACAGTTTCCACTGCAAAAGACTTCGTCATAAGGATGACATGTCCCTGACACACCACTCTTTCCTGCAGTGTTTCCTTAGTCCATTAAGTGTACGAGGACGACGGTGTTCCAGCGCTAATTCAAGCAGTCCTATCGCACAGAAATCCAAAGTCAACTTGATCAGAATGTCTTCGTATGGAATGACATGAATACCCGTTTCATTCATGCGATGTTTGAACGGGTATAACTTATTACAAGTTTCTTTCTGGATAGTCCTGGTGCCCCAAGGTGATCCATATTCCTTTATTTTCCAATGCCATTAAGTACAAGGGACATCCCTGCCTTGGAAATTCTAAATCCCCAATCTGAACACAAATTTCTGATCTGAGTGTATGAATGTTTTAAGTTGGAAACGATTGTTGTTATACCCTTCCAAAAAAAGCGATCAATTTTCGGCGGCATCACACTACCTAATAAACGGCAATGTCTGTTTGAAGTTAAACACAAAGCATCACAATGGGCTATCTGTGTTCTGCTCACCACGGGTATCGAAACCCGGATTCTAGCATTGTAAGTCCGCAGACATACCGCTGTGCCACTGGTGGGGGGGGGGGGACACGGCAATGTCAAAATGTAGTTCTGATACAGGTCTTTCCTCCATCGTTGTGATTTTGATACTGCGTTATCCAATCAAGCTGGAAAAGCAAAGAGTGACAGAATTTACGGTTACTTTGAACAATGTTAAAACAACATCTGTGCAATAGAGCTAAAAGCACATCCAAGAAAAATAGATCTTTGTTAAAGACTCACCATTTTCTACTTGTAGATAACATAATACTACTGAAAACGTATCCGAAAAAGAAACATATAGTTGTTGAAGTATCTCACCACTTTTAACTCCTGATAATATAATACCGCTGAAAGCATACCCAAGAAAAAAATATATCCAAGGTAAAGTACCTCACCATATTCTAACTCATGAATTCTGATAAAATGATACCGCTGAAAGCATACCCAAGAAAGAAATAGAGCCTCATCAAGTACTTTAACCACTTTCTAGTTCATGATAACATAATTTTACTGAAAAC